TGGCCTGTAGTTGGGTTTCTACCTAAACCAATCTGTTTATTGTCAGTCTGTCTGGTTACTCTCTTCCTCCTAGTATATGTAAGCTCCATGAGAGCAAGGACTCTGTTGTTCATGGCTAATTTACCAGTGTCTAGAATAGTTTTTGGCATATTATTATTTAATAATAGCTCAAAAAAATTCAAATGAGTGAAAGAATGAGTGAACAAACCAAACAAAGTCGGGCACATACTAAATAGAAGCAAAAATAACCAAAACAGATGTTAATTAATAAGTTTACTATCTGATAAGGAAAAGGAAGATGAAAGTATTGTGTGATATGCCCTTTGAATTTGTAATAACAGAATAGGAAGAGAAGGGTAAACTCTGAATCAAGAAAGCAGGGTTTGAGTCCTGACCACTATAACTATGTAACTTGGCTAGTCACATCAGTTCTCTGGGCCTCAGTTTCCCCATATGTAAAAAGGAGATGCTGAAACAGACCAGTAATTTTCAAAGGATCCCTCTTTAAGAAATGGATTAAAAAAGCAAGGACAAGAATTTGCAAAGAGATGGTGCATTTTAAGGCACTGACTTGCATTCCTTCCCCTCATCTCATCAGAATGACAGTAAATGGATTTTTAACAAGGCATAAACCCACAAGAACAAAGATAACAAAAGTGAAGACAACAGCAATAAAATACTGGAAGCTGGTGAGGAAGCGGGTAAATGGTAACTGACTTAACAGACTCTAGAGCCAAAACCCAAGCTAACAGCGGGAAAAGCTGGGAAACAACACATTTATGTCACAGAACCCTCGACAGCTCAGGAAATGGTGACCTCAGGCACCTCTGGAAGAGGGTGAAATAAGCAGAGGGTTGGCCGAACTTCTGCATAAGAAGCAGTAAGATTTCTCTAAATCTCCTGCCTCACTCCACCCTACTAGGACCCTGCCCTTCCTCATCCAGGAAGAAGACAGGAAGTTTACTCTCTCAAGAGGGTGAAACCGAAGGTTCCAGGAATGACGAACACCAGGCATAGCTGAGGGCAAGAGAATTGCACTCCAAAGAGGGAGTTCAGTGAACATGTTTTGGCTGACCTGGGCTTCATGTGCTCAGCCTGCCAGCACCTAAAGCAAGATGGCCCTGCCTCATCTAGCGACAGTGAACAAGTTTGTCTCCCCCAGAATCTGACATGTGCTTCGTTATTCACATTCAGGGAAACTGCCCAGTACTATGCCTGCCCAGGAAGTCTGAATATTTGCTTTCTGACATCCACTTGCCAAATATAATTTGTTGCCATGTCAGTTTATTTCAATCAATGCCCACTATAAAGGTCTTTCAGGCCGTGTGCAGTGGCTCACGCCTGTAATCCCAACACTTTGGGAGGCCGAGGTGGGAGGACTGCTTTAGGCCAGGAGTTCAAGACCAGTCTGAGCAAGAGTGAGACCTTATCTCTACAAAAAAAAGAAAAATTAGCTGGGTGTGGTGGTGCATGCCTGTAGTCCTAGCTACTCAGGAGGCTGAGGCAGGAAGATTGCTTGAGCCCAGGAGTTGGAGGTTGCAGTGAGCTATCACGACACCACTGCACCAGGGCAACAGAGTGAGACAGTCTTTAAAAAAAAAAAAAGGCTAATGAGGAAAGATAATTATTAATTCTAGGGAAAATTAAAAGTCATGTAGGAGAAATAATATTATACTACATGACTAAATCATGACTAGCATTTGGGTAGTTATAATGCAAACAGTAAATACTGATTTAACCAAAATTTCAGTATTCTATTAGGAGGATGGTGGGGAAAGGGGACAAGTAGCGAATGAATGTACAATTGGGGCATAGAGGTGAAAGAGAGCTAAATCCTCATTTTCCATAGGAGAAGGTCAGCAGAAAAGGTCTAAAATTAAAAAGTCAAGAGCAGCAATCTACTCATGTTATTTAGAGGTATGGATTAACATCCAAAAGAATTAGCTGAGAGTCTAAAATGGTGCTCTTGGGAGTAAAAAGATGGAGTATGTATGTGGCGGGGCAGGCGCCTGATTTTTTCATAACAAGTCTGTAAAACTATTTCAGCCTTTAACCTATATGCAGGTACTACTATGATAAAACTAAAAAGTTTTACTAAAAAATAAAAATAAAAGCTTTTGTCCCTCTCCTCAAGAAAGACATGATTTTTCATATGACTTTAGGGACCTTTGTGGACCCCTGGACTAGCTAGGCTTCCAGAAGCATGAAGATTCTATGGTTCCATTCCAGCATCATTTCCACTCCCAACCACCCCTCCTCTCTGCACCATCTTAGGAGAGAATGTAAGTTCTGCAAATGGAGTTTTCCAAATAGGATTAACATATCCTTAAGGGAGTATCTCTTACTGTGCCCAGAGTTGTCACATGATAAAGTGGGAACCCAAACTTTTTAGACTAACACACCTTCCAGGTATGTAAGTAGATATCCACAATCCAAATATATGTCCTGGTTTGTGTTCTGTCTTGCAGATGGAATGGAAAGATTAATCAAAGGGAAAGTCATCCAAAATAAGGTTTGTTTTTGACACAAAGGTAGATGATGTCTGAACCCCCAAATATACCATATAAGGTCTGAGTTCCACAGCTTAGATTATTGTAAAAACTGAATGGACTGAGTCAGGGTTCGTATGCCCACCTCTCCCCACTGGCCACTGCATTATGATCTTTCCTATTAATCTAAATTTGTTGTTAGCTCAGCCAGGTACAAAACTGAGGGGTCTGGACAAGAAACTATCCTTTGGTCCTGAAGTGAGCCTTCTTCAAGTTTGTATGGCACTGGTTTTCCTTATGAGCAGTTTGTATAGTGAACCAGAGGCTACCATTTTTAATGAAAAGTAATTTTGAAGCTATATGGTAAGTGATGCTAACACATTTTAAGCCCAAATGACTGTCTATAAACCTTTTAGCTTCCAAATCAGCATAGTTTATTTTGCTGGAAAGCATCACAGGAAGGGTTTTTGGTTTCATTTTCCTTAAATCTACTTACAAATCTATTTCTGTATTAACAATACTTAAAAGCCCCTCTGAAGTACCTGGCTTGGGGGAAAAGCCATCAGTAATGACACAAGTCCAAATTCAATGAGCAGCAATATATACCATACAACCAAACTTTGCTTTTTGTCAGGTTCGTGCAAGTGGCTGTGGATGAGAGTCTGGGATTGCCGAGGGGACTTCAGTGGGGTGTGTTCCAACAGTGAGTGCCATCTGGTTGCCCTATATTCTGCCTGGACCTGGCTTCCTGGCCCAAGACTAGCTTTGAGGGTGCAGCTCTGTGACCACAGCCAGTCAGTGGCTGAGCAGGCACATGGGAAGTGTCTGTGGGCTACACAGTCTTCTTGGAGTACTTTCAAGTTCATTCCCAACAGACAATATAGGGTGCCAGCAGCCCCAGAACCTTGCAGCCATGCAGGAGGTTGGAAAAAGTTGCAAAGAACTGTTAGTTTGAGATCTGAACATGTCAGTATCCCTGTAACAAAATGACTTACTCTAAAATGCTGCTCTGCTAAACGCTGTCCTTCTGGCCCTTTTATAAACTGTTGATGAGGAAGAATGCTCCTAAACTGATTCACAGATGCTTATGTGATACTCAGAATCATCACACTGAAGACTCTGATTCTCTCTTTCTCTCATACAAGCATAGTTCACTCAACGTATGCTGATGAGGAACACGAATGTGAGGACTCAAAGCCCCACTACTAAAGTCCCCTAAACTTTTGCCAAGAGGTCAGCTTTGGATTAGGTGAACGAGCCATGCTAGGCACGAAAGGGTTCGTTCCTCTCCTTCTGCCAAAGTCTAAAATACCTTAGTTGGGTGATGCAGTATTTGAAGTGAAAATTCAGATGAAAATGAGTCTGTAATTTTAACTACCAGAGGATCACTGTGTCATGTTTTTACTCTCAACAGTTTGAGGTTTTGTCTAGCAATCAAGAGGGTGAAGATAAGACTCGGTACTTCTCTTCCCTTTACATCAATCATCCTTTCAGCTTGGCCAGTTGAATAGCCTGAGGGGAGGCCAAAGATCACAGGATTCATTGCCAGGATGGAGAATTAATGAAATTCTAAACAGAGAGGCTGGGTCTGCCACTTTTCTCTGACCAAACTAGCACAGTTTACCTAGGTTTACAGTGTAAACTGCAAGTACCGAAGAAAGAACAAGACCAACTAGCTCTCTAGACACGCCTCAAAAGGAATGCATTCACATATTTGCAAGGAAACAAACAAAAGCAACAGAAACGGGCAATCCATTTGTTCTTTCCCCCTGGACTATAGGCTCCTATTGCTGGGCCACCAATCTACAGTGGGGTCAGGACAGGTTCTCTATTCAGACTAGTATGTTTCAACCTTGGGATTGGTAGAAAGTGGCACATTGACATTTTGGAAATTGAGGGATGATAGCTTGAAAATGAGTGCTTTGCTTCACTGGTTTTTTTTTTCAATTCATGAAAATATGTTTTGAAAACTTTATAGAAAGACATGAGAATTTTATGTTTATCAAAGAAAACATGGCATGGGTGAAAACAAGGCCGAGAAACTCTGGTTTAATTCACTGATTAGGGACTCTGGTGGACAGTGCTCAATACCTTGGCAGACGTAGTCATAGAATCTTGGCTTCTGTTTTCACTTGCTGTCCGTGTATATGTCTATTCTGAAGTCTTTAGCTTTGGGGGAATGGTTTATATTTACAGATTACCTACATCAACTTTCTTCAACTAAACTCTAACAACAAACTAGCTTTATTAGAAATAAATCTTCACCAACATCACAATTGCAATTAACATAAATAGTTGAACGTTCCTATTCTACCACTGCTAGAAGTAATTTTTTTTTTTTTTGCAAAACCCAATTTATGCCAGAAATGTAAAATGTGAAAATAATAGGAATGCACTTTCTCTCTTTCATTCATTATTTCATCCATTCGATCATCCAATGAAACACTGAGTATCTATTGTGTGGCAGGCACATGAGATGTGCACCAGTCAACATTCGACAGTCACACTAACCTGTGTGAGAATAGATGTACCACAAGGCCCCCGTCAGGAGAGCTCCGATCACAAATGCTGCAAACGCAATGCCCATCACGGTTAGGGTGTCCAGACCACGGAAAATCGCTATAAAGGATGGAAACCAATACACATAACTTTTAAGTTAGTCTGCACCATACATCGCTGCTTTGTATTTGTTTCACAAGCACTGTCATAAAAGCTGAGCACCGACTAATAAAATCTGAGCATGTAATGAAGATCCCAATAAAACACACTGTATTTAGTAAATTGCAAATTTTTTGTCAAAGGAAAAATGAAATTATCAGGTTTCCAAGATACTCTCAGTTTGCTATTTATTTTGAGCAATGAACTAAAAAAATCAGATTTGTAAACTCTAAAATGTTAAGTCTGTGGTCCCACTGTCTCAATCCGAGGACCTACTATTTAAATGGAGGGTGGCTTGAAAATTCACAGGTTAAGATGCTTTCGAAAATGAGGTGAACTTCCATTATCAAAATCTGACTCATTGCTCCTTAGTGACTGAACACCTCCAACAATGAAACACTACACAGAAATCACATATATTTTCATGAACATTGAAAAGTATGAAAGATAACAGGAAGAAAGAGTGAGAAGAAAACACAGAATAAGAATATACTATCCCTGTGGATAACATTTCACTGATTTCCTCGTATTAAATTCTCAATCTTAACAACTATGTATTATGTCATTTAAAACAACCTACTTTTTAACACTCTTCCAACTGTGATCTTTCTATGAGGGGAACGGAAATACTTCCCAATGGGGAGTGATGTCAGTTTTATGGTCAGCAAAACATATAAATAGAATCAATTGTTCCTCCGTTTGGCAAATATTTTTATATTTGAAATTAATTCCAGGCCACAGAAACAGAACATTTCCTTTCATTTAAGAGAACTACCTTCCTTGAGTCACTTATGAAAAGTTAAAATTGGTTTCCAAGGGAGAGGGATTTTTGGTAGAATAAAATTTCTGAGGTCTGTGTTTTTTTAATATAAGTGGAAGATATAGGATCTCCCCACTATTTCAATACTACTTCTTTCTGCTCTAGTCAGAAGCAAGTCCAGCTGGTCTCTTCTATAAGCTAAATCTCTTCACCTCTTTGCCTTTCAACTCCCTGCAGTGTAACAGACTGCTGTGCACATGTGGCCCTCGAAGCCCCGGTGCTCCAGAGCGCTTGGGAAAAGTGCATCCTGGCGGGAAAGAGTCTGGAAGGACCAAGTTCTGGTCCCCACTCTTCCAGCTGTGTGCCCTTTGGTGGGTTCATTCAACTTCCGAAAAACGAAGATAACACCACTTCATCCGCTGAAGGTACGGTTGTAAACAAACAAGTTTGTAAAAGGGAGGAGGGTCCACTGGAAGCAGTAAGAACTGGGAAGAGCTCTCCAGAGGTTAAGATGAATGAGGCCATCAGCCTATTTAGTTTACTCTAGTCTGTGGGGCAGACATTTCAAGATGACTTGCCTTTTTATGCCTACAGATGCAAAAATGGAACACGATTACTAGTTTTTGGTGAAAATGTTCTAAAATGCCAAAGATGGAGATGTCATTTATAAAAATCAGACTAGGTAAGTATGAGAGAATGTGTCCCTATGTGTCTCTCTTATTTTCTTTCTTTGTGTGTATGTCTCTTTCTGAGTTCATAATATCGTTCCATCATCTTTTAAAAATAATCCACTTAAGAGAGTGGTTTACGCAGTGCTTAGTATAAAAGAACTCTCCAGACTGATGATTATGTGTATATGATGGAGTCAGCCATGGACACCAATCCTGGGAGTCTTAAGGAAGAAAAAAAGCACAGATTCTCCTCACAAGACATCATCACCTAGAAGGGCTCTGGGTAGCCAGACAGGAAGTCCAGGAATCTTTCTGGGTCAGAGTTTTCTTCCATAGAAAACTGGCATAGGCAATTTCCAACTCATCATTCTGTAGTAATTGGTGTTGCTGTCTCTTTTTTCCTCACATGCCCTCCGTAGCCCTCCCACCCCTTGGACTAGAGATCGTCTTGAAGGTATGGCAACAAGTTGTCTTAGCACTACTTCTCTGAGCTGGTAAATATTGTCCATAAGACTTAAAGCAAATCACTCCCACAGCTGTATGCTAATGCTTTCAGAGCACATCAGATATAAGCGTGCAAATAATTCTCTCTCTAAAGCTAAGTAAGTTACTACCTTCCTATTCAGGCCATACACGCTCATGGGTCAACAAATTAATGTTTTTAAATGGCAAAGGTGGGGAGGAAAAAAGAAAGAGGAGTACAAAGGAAAGACAGAGAAAAACAAAAAAGTATGAGAAAAAGGAGGAAAGGGGAAGGGAGAATGAGAGCAGAAGTCTCCTTATCAAAACTCAAAGTTTGGCAAATGTTCACTAACCAACTCATTCTTATAAAAGCCCAGGAGGCTTTATTTCGAAATAGTTGCATAAAGACTTACGTGGAGGAACTGGATTTGGTTCCTTAATGCTTGGACCTTTTCCTGAAACAAAAACATAAATCACAATGCATTCCACAGAGAAACCAAGATTTAAGCAAAGGGTCATCAAAATCTCAGCAAAAGCTGACACTTCTCTATTTGTTAATAAATACATACTTTGCGAAAGCTCTGTCATCCTTTTTAGATATCAAAACTACAACATGGGTCACTCAGGAACTTTAAGCATTCTACTTTATCGATCAAGTGTATAGGCTCTCTAATTTGAAGAAAATTTGAAGGTAAACACCTACACTTAGAGAATTTGAGTCTGACAATTCATATACCTGTGTGTGTGCACCTTTATATTTAATTACGGAAGGATTCAATACCTTTAAATACCATACTCTTCCAGTGTATTCATATTATTCCACTTTCAAAATATTCTTTAACACATGCACATTGTCAGAGCATCTTTATTCTCCTATTATCTGATAGCTCAGCTCCTGTTCATCACCCACCTGTGCTATCAGAGTCCTGTCTCCAGCGCCACCTCCCCTACAATACTCCCTCCTCCACATCCATCCCCAGTGTGAATATTCCAGAGCCCAGAGCTGATCATGTTATTGCCCTGACCAAACACCTTAATTATTTCCCATTATACGATTTTCCCATACAGGGAAAAAGTCCAAACTCTTTAGCATGGTGCACAAAGTTCTCCCTTCCTCTCCTCCCACCTCTCTCCAGCCTCCTCTCCCAATGGGGTCCTTCACCCATGCTGGACTTCTCATATGTAGTTACTTAAGCCCCCAAATCCTCCATGCTGCTCCGTGTCATCACGCTTTACAAGCCGTCCTCTGAAACACCCTCCTCCTCTAGACCTGCTTGTTGGCATTTCCCCGGGGTGGCCTCCCCTGACTCTCCCATGGCTCCATCTCCACCCCACAGGGCTGGTCTCTCCCACCTTTGCTCGTCCCATCCCTCTTCCGTTACGCTTGTGCCACACTGAGTTGTAATTTCCTGTTTTTTTCCCTGCCCTGAGGGCAAGATCTAGTTCATATTATTCTGTATATCCTCGGGGCTCAGACTGGCATAGACTAGGCCTTCCAGAAATGTTTGGTGAAGGCGGATTAAAATGTTGGTGTACTCTTTGAAAATGGAGGCAACAGAGGAAACTAGGAATAAGATTATTAAAATGCTCATATGCTTCGGTGTTTCCATAATGTTTTCATGTCCGTGAAGTGCTCCACAGGCAAGATCTCACTTGAGGTTCACACTAGTGCTAGAGAGAGGCAGAAACAGAATTTTTATCACTATTTTAGAAATGAGCGGCCTGAGACTCTGATACCATGTGACTAATGCAAGGTCACAGCTGGAAAGCATCAGGGCAGGGATTGAACCAGATTCCAGATTCCTAGCAGGACAACTGACTGGAGAGCATGACTGTCCTCGCTGGGGAAGCACTGATGCAGTAAGTGCTTGTGCACGGCTACTCTCATCCTCAACCGGGAGACCCGCAGAGACCAGGAGTTAGGATGCTACAGCCCACTTACTTTTGTATGGCCTGTGAGCTAAGAACGGGTTCCATATTTTGAAATGATTTTTTAAATATCAAAAGAAGAATAACATTTCATGACATGTGAAAATTATATGAAATTCAAATTTACTCCATAAATGAAGTTTTATGTGGACACAGCGATGCTCATTCATTTACATATTGTCTAGGGCCGCTTTCATGCTACAACGGCGGCACTGAGCAGTTCAGACGGGGACCGTGTGGGTCACAGACACATATTCACTCTCTGCTCCTTTAGAAAAGGCGTGCTGAGCCCTGGCAAGACTCCGCCCTTACTCTTTAGAGTTTGAAAGCGATATGTGTTTAGCACCTCTCTTTTCATCTCCATTTCCATTCAGTAAAGAAGGAACACAACACCTTGTATTTCAATCTACAGGGAAGCAAAAAGAACTTGTGAAAATTTGACCCAAACAAGCAGCATCTGAGTTGATGTTTATAAAAATAAAGAAGCTAGACAGGGTAAAAGACGACAGGATTGTAAATTCTCCCTATTAACCACCTCGGCTCGGTTGATCCACGTTCTGTGGCATGAGTTATCAGTGGCCCAGCTCTAGGGGAAAGAATGCTACTGGCTGAATCAGAGCCACCACAATTTAATGGTGTCCCTTTGAACAGTGCAACCTGGTGGCCCCGAGAAGAGGATATATGCAAAAGTTATACTTCAATAAAATTATTAAGAAAATTTAAATGATTTCATGTTTTTAAGAAAATCTAATTCAGTATGCCGAACACACACTAACTGTAAAATTCGCTCTCCTGAGAGTTTGGTCCCATCAGCCTTACTGACAGCAGTAACAACAGTGAGGCCTTACATTTGTATAGTGTTTTACAATTGACAAAAAGCTTTCACTTATATTATCTCATTTTAAACATCAAAGAACCCCATGAAGTAGGGGTATCTAACCACAAAATTCTCTTACTTTCAAGAAGTAATAGCTTGATTCACTGAACTAAATCCAAAAGCATTTAAAGGTCACTATAGTGTGCATCATGTGAGAAATATACACACTTCTGGGAAGAGTTCCATCCAATCGACTGCCTGTGGTTAAACTTTGTCACTCAGAATTCCCAAGTGGTTTAAAAATAACGATTCTCTCCTAAGGAGACCTCATATGCAAAATATAAGTTTTATAAAGTAAAGCCTGTATGATAGATGGCATTGTTTTAAAATTGTTAATGTTCTTATGTTACGATCTAATCCTCTACCCCCACCCCAAATAGGAACCTTCGCACAGAACTAAACAGAAACAGTTGTTGCTCATTTCCCCTGGGGTGAAGTTCCTTTGTGATTTCTGTGCACAAATAATAATAAGCACAGGCTGCAGAACGAAGGTTAAAGAATTCTGTCCTCTAACTTTTTCTTCTCAAATCCCCAATAACCCCTGAGTATGACTAAAATAGTTTGATCTCCACCGGAACCCTATAATCGAGTTGGCATGCTAAGAGGAAAAGAGTGGACGCAACAATATTTACTTTGGTTTAAGGATAAGATTGTAAGAAAGGAATCCTAGCTATTGCTGTAAAGAGAATTTTAACAATAAAGATTTCTTTATAGAAAGAACAAACTATAATCAACATTCTGAATTAAATCTTTTCATATATTCTGAGCAAATTTTGGTCTACCTCTAGAACCTAAATTTCCCTCCACAGATTGTTAGGCATGGTTTTCAGGAACAGGATATTTCTGGGGTTATGCATGAGTAACTGACCACAGCATTTGGCCCCCAGTTTTCAATCCAGTTTTCCTCAACACCATAGGACTGAGCAGGCCCACAGGGAAACAAGGCATCAAACTGGTATCCACATGTACTGGTGTTTGGCAAAGAGGGAAGGAAGGATGGGGAGAGGAAGTCTCCTCCTAGAGACTCAGGAGGGCTTCATGCAGGCCCCACTTAAGACAGAGTTTTTACTAACTTTACTTCGCTGTAACTGGGGTGGGTAGAGATCAGGGATGATGCTAAACTTTCTACAATGCATGGGACAGCAGCCCCACAACAAAGAGTTATCCGGCCCCAATTTTGTTTTTTGCTGAAACAGGGTCTTGCTCTACCACCCAGGCTGGAGTGCAGTGGCATCATCACAGCTCACTGTAACCTCAAACTCCTGGGCTCCAGTGATCCTCCTGCCTCAGCCTCACAGGGCCTACAGATGCATGCCACCATACCCAGCTAAATTTTTTTATTTTTTGTAGAGATGAAGTCTCACTATGTTGCCCAGGCTGGTCTTGATCTCCTGGCCTCAAAGTGATCCTCCTGCCTTAGCCTCCCAAAGCACTAGGATTACAGGAGTGAGCTACCACACCCAACTTAAGCCCAAAATGTCAATAGTGCTGAGACTGAGAAACCCTGCACTAGACTGTAAAGGCCTTAAAGACAGGATAATTTGCTTTCCACATGCCTAGCATATAGTAGGTACTCAATAAACTTTCTGGGGAATAAATTCCCATAAATATCATGTGTATCTTATTATTGGTACTTCCCCAGCACCCCAATCTTCACACTTTTTTCAGAGTAGTCTTCCTAAATGATCTAATCACTAGTCCCACTCAAGATCTTTTCGTGGCTCTTAACTTTTAGAATATTTATGGACAAAATTAAATGACTGGTTTTCTTTCAAAACAATCCAGTGGGTAACAGAAAGTGATAAAACAAGATTCACCATGAATTGGTAATTACTCAAACCTATTTTACTTTTGTATATATTTGAAATTTTCCAAAACAAAAAGTTTTAAAAATGTGAAGCACATGGAGTTTAAAATCCTTATGACATTCCTCTCCCCTATCGGACAGAAGCTGAATGCTTTCTCTGTCACTCAAGCTTGGTACCATCTTTCTACTCAGTCTCTCCTCATTGCTACCTCAGCTTGGGGATGAACCCCGGCTGGTCCGTTAGAGTATTTTCATTCTGCAAAGATCAAATGTGTTTCAAAAAAGTAAGGCCTCTCTTGGATTAACTTCCAGTTGACATTCATAACTTTCCCTTCCACTCCTCCCCGCCCCCCAAAACACCCTCAGTTTGGCTGAGAAATTGAGAGGAAATTAACATTTACTGAGTGTCCGAGATATGCAGGCGCTCTTATTTTTTTTAATTTGTGGTAGAAATACGGAGAAAAATTCAGTATTTCAAACATTTAATTTGCTAAGAATTAAATAAGTATATATGTATATAAATCATAGCAAATTTGGGAATGACATTTATTGTTCTCTCACGTTCACACTCTTCTTTGTACGTGCACTAAGTTTCCTCTTGAACTTTTATGTAAGTTACTCCTCCCTTTCACCATTTTGAAAAAGTCATCAGTGTCGTGTTGTAACCATTTTTACTGTGTAAGCACAAGTGTTCTTAGATGTTGTAAAAAGTGGGCACAGGATCCAAAGCAAATAACACTAACATGCCTATACTTCAAAATATTTCAAAAAATACAGCAGGATGGCACCATCTCAACTATTTTAATTGTTTTGCCATAAACCATGATATGCATAAACTATTCCTGTTTTCTGGGCTATTTTGTACGTTACAATTCAAAATCATAGAACAACTCCTAAACCTTAATACTCTCCCAGTTTACGTATTTCCCAACATCTTAACCCTTTGGAAGAACAGACTTTTTCCCTAAAATTCTTCATCTTCCTTTCAGTTCATAATCATTAGCGTATTTGAGTGTTACCTTGAATACCAATGTGATATGGTATGTAAAGGAGGGAGATGGGTGGGAAGAGGGGGGTGTGAAGAAGTAACTGCCTATGTTGCTTGTAGGGTTTATTAAAAACTACAATCAACCTCCTTCTGGGATAAGGCATAGTGTTTAAGAGGACAGGCTCTGGAATTGAAATGCCTGGACTTGAATCTCAGATCTATCATTTATATGTGAAATTAAATATGATAATCCACATAAAGCATTTTGCACAGAGCCTTGTACAAAGTAAATGCTCAATAAATGTTAGATCATCATCCACATCTCCATCATCACCACCACCAGCACCATCATCTATTGTGGAGAGTTTAGGTAGTAAAAGAATGCTAACCCAATGCTGGTTCCCAAGGGACTTAGAGATCAAAGGTGGCAAAGATGTGCTCATGAAGGTTCCATTAAAAACAGTGGCCCAGCGGAGGAACCCAGAATTATTTATTTAGTCTCGATGGCCTGCTTTCCCTGTCCACAGAAGGAAGAAACATCGCTGGAAGTTTGTCAGGGCTACTGGCAGCAGTGGCCACAGAGCAGCTCTCTGCCTGGCTGTGAAGTTGCCAACCAGAACGTTTATCTGCTGCCCCAGAAGACCCAACTGTTGAAAATAAAATGAATCCAATGAGCCGGAGCTTTGGCATGGCCTTCAAAGAGCACCTGTGTAGTAAAAGGACAGTGAAGCATCCCATTGGTTGGGAAGCTTTTACCCAAAAAGTTAATCCCATGGTAAGTGACCTGCCTACTCCCACAGATACTGCAATAAATGGACACAAAGCTGTCTGGCAGGAAGAACATTCATGACCCTGTTATTATTCAAATAAACCCACGCTATTAGGCAAACAGTCATATTCCCTTTTCAAATGACTCTTCCAATTCACTGTGAGGCAGAGAGAAAGCACAGACTCCAATGCATTGAGGAGAAATTATTTCAGAGTCAAAGGAAAACAAATATAAAAGGTGAGAGAAGTCATACACAGAGCTGAAACCTGTCAGAAAACCTACTGGATTCAGTGCAAAGTTAGAAAGCAAATTTACATACAGCCCCCGGGATGCTGGCCTGCAGTTTAACCTTCTCAATTTGTTTAACAAACCTAAGTAATAAACTTTCTTTACCCACATGTTTCTCCACTAAAATCTAGTCTCAATTAGCAAATCTCATAAAACTGCTTTGATATTTGGTAAAATTTTCCTCTTGAACTTTTATGTAAGAAAACATTGAACTTCCAATATAATTACACTAAGTTTAAATAAAAGTAATTACCTAATTTACAAGAGAAATTACTTAGAAAAATACCACCAGACTCAAAAGAAGAATGAATGAATTGCTGGAAGTTATACTGCTGCAGTATTAATGCCTAATTATTGTCTGGCATGGGAAAAAGCAAACTGCTGCCTTCAATTACCAGCAGAACTACCTCTCTCAAAATAGGTAAGAGTAACAGATGAAGGCCGAGTAGCCGCTGCTATTGTTAAACGACTCACTCTCATAGTACAAAACAGAGCCAGCTGTTGCCCAATTGTGATTACTTTGCAACACAATTAATTTATTCTTATTTCTTTCCCCTGAACCCAATAAAAAGGAACTATTTGGGCAATCCCTTTATACAAAGACTATTGCTGTTATGACTTTCAAATGGTTGAAAACCAACCAATTAAAACAACAACAAAAACGTTGCTGAGGAACCAATAAACATCTAACATGTACATTTCACACCAACTTCAGGATGGCCGGGAAATGAATTAAAGATTATTTTGCTTCTTCAAACAGCATAGTTTAGTATTACAGCTGAAACGGCCTCTGGAAGTCATCTGGGCTAAACCTCTTCTTTCCAGATAAAGAAAATGAAACCCAAAGAGGTGGGGGGAGTTCTCTTGGGCCCCCACAGCAAATTAGCGGAGAAAGCTGGGAGCGCCTCTGGCTCCTAGCTCCAAGCCAGCGCCCTCCCCCCGCACTCTCCTGCCCTTCAGAAGGGAGCATGTTCCTAGGAAGGGGCAAATTCCACCACCAGATAGGACAATTAGAATGGCACTGCTCTTTTCATAAAGGTCACTCAACCAAACAAGAAACTGGACAGCACCCACATGCCTCTGTTCTGGTAGCTTCTGCCTGCTTCAGGGCCACCCCTGCTGCCTAGCCTTGCCAAATCCCAATCCAACAATACTCAGATCAGAAATGCCATCCCAAGGCACCTCAAACCCTAGAGCTGGTATCAGCACCACCCGGCAGGTCTCCCAGCTAATGCCCAGCAACTGGAGCCAGGTAGCTCACTGGCTTCTGTTAAGGCCCTTAGTGCCCAGGCTACTCTCTGCCCCTCAGGGTGGCAAGAGGCAGCCTGCAGCTCAAGCCCTAAAATATCTAACCCTGGAGGCTTGGAATCCACTTTCACTCTCCCAGCCTTCTCTCTCAGTTTGATACCCTTAGACAACAATGTTTCTAAACAATGACAACTATAATTGCCTAGATATTCCATGTGACATTTAGTTCCATTCCTTAGATGTTGACAGCTGCCTAGTGTGTTCTTGCTTGTTTAGTCCTTGGGGCTGTGATGTGGGTCCCTGGCAGATGCTCTCCACTAGGTCCACAGGACCTCACATCCATTCCTAACATCCCCTGCAGGGCCCAGCTCTGCTTCCCTGCTGGTTTTGGCTGGCCTGGCCCATGCCAGGCCTGGCTCTGCCCTGCCTGTCCTCCAGGGTACTGATGCTACACTTCTTAGGGCACGTCCTTCTTTTTCTCCTAGATGTACTTGTTGGATGTGTCTGCACATGTAGAAAGAGGCACCCTTGGCTTCAAGCAACAAATATGATTGTGCAAAATCCTGAAAATTAAATTATAAAATGCATTTGGGCAGTGGTTCTCAATCTTCTTTCTGCTCTGACACCTAAGATGAATGTTCACATATATAACACCCTCTCTCTCAAAGGCACATGCAATTTTGACAAAGCAATATAATAGCCTGTAGCCAGCACAACCATTACCAGTAGCTCACAGAAAGGTGAGCTATGGATCGTTTGCAATCCCCAGCATGCCGGGAGTAACTCTAACCCTTTCTTGAAGACTCAAGGAAACATATTTGAATGCAAGGGAGAGTGACATTATGACACGGACAACTTTGACCCTGATCTGATTTTTCAGAGGACATGATGTGTATGTATCACAACTCTGCCACAATGGCAGGGAACCAGTGAAAGAAAAGACTCTTCAGGCAAAACAATCCTCTTCTAAAGTTACTAATTGGCCCTTAAGTTATCTTTTGAACAAAACTGGACTTTGATTCATGGTATTGGATCTTCTTAATGAGCAGCCCCTGGGCCCCTATTCTCTGACTGAGCCTCCCAAAGCGCACCTTTGGATTCAACTTCGTGGTGGATCACAGCCAGGGGCTTGGTGAACGTCTTCTTATTCTGCATCATGGCCCAGATCATCGAGGCGTCCAGCGAGGTGCAGGCTTCATCAGGCGGCACGCACTGCGGGGGGGCAGAGCAAAGCAGGGTCGGGGTCACTCGGCCTGCACAGCTGTCCTGTGGCCTTTTCTCAGACAGCTCACAGCTGTTTAGCACCGGAAAACAGATTTGGGTGTTTTTCAAAGAACCCCAAATAATCTGGGAGACATTGTGGCAGGCTCAGTGTATTTTTCAGCTGCACTTGAAGATGTAAATATCACTGGATGGCATATAGATATTGTCCTCCCCCCTTCCTTTTCCCCACAAAACAACTAGAGGGCTTAGTGTTATTTAGTTTAGAAATAGAGAACTTATGACTAATGTTGGCCCTTCACCAAGCTGGCTTCATGTAAATGGTTCATGTTTGTGATTTGTGATTGTGGAAAACTTCATGTACAGGTGCTCCTCAACTTATAATGAGTTACAGTCTGATAAACCCATTGTAAGTTCAAAATATCATAAGATGAAAATGCATTTCATACATCTGACCTACAGAAAATTGTAGCTTAGCCTAGCCACCCTTAAATGTGCTCACTTATAGTAGCCTACAGTTGGACAAAATCATCTAACACAAAGCCTATTTTATAATAAAGTGTTGAATGTATCATGTAATTTATTGAATACTACAAGTGAAAAACAGAATGTTTGTATGGGTACTCAAAGTGTACAGTTTCTACTGAACGTGTATCACTTTTGCACGATTATGAATTCAAAAAATCCTAAGTTGAGCCATCATAAGTCAGGGACCGTCTGTATTGCATTATGAACGTGACAGATTTTACATGTACTGTCCAAAAACATAATCATGTTGTTGAGTTTGTCTAATTTTTAATCCTGACCTAGGCTCATGCGAAATTAAACTTTCCAGGGTCATCTGCTTTTAATGTTCCAAAAGGCAGGTCCTGGGGAGTTGTGCCATGTGGAGAGGCCATGAGATCAGCTGCTTCTAGCTATTTTAAGGCCTCAAACTTATTAACAAGCATGCCTGGGCCCACTGTATCTGTTTGAAAATGTATGATTACACTCCAGTACCTTTTCCTTTAAAATAACTTTGGTTTGTTGTCTATACTCATCAATAGGTGAAATTCTAATGTAAATGACACCCATTCGCTTTTGTTGTAAGAAGAAACATATCACTTAAAGTATTGTGGGCATCCCCAAAACTAGGTAAGTTCCACTCTTCCAATCACAAAAGAGCAAAGCCTTTAGTCTTGTCATTGCTGCTCTGAGCAGCATGCCAGTCAGACGCATAATATTAGAAGTCTCCTCCACGCCCCAAAAGAAAAGCCTTCACAATGGCCCTCTTGTAGAGGGAAACAATGGATTTTCTGTGGAGAGGCGCGATTATTGAAAAGATTTACATTTCCTCTTCTATTTTATTTTACTCTTACTTTCCTAATACTTCTTCGGTTAAGTAAGAGTCTAGGATTCTATGTCTAACTCAGTAGGTGACCCTGGGTGAGACACGTCACTCTTTGGGCCTCAGTTTCATTAGCAAAGGGCAGGGTTGGACTCAATGATCTTTGAGGCCTCTTCCTAGAAAATGCTTTGGCTCCTTTGTCATAGAAAGCACTGAGAAGTGACTAGAAATACAGAAACACTACATATAAGCAGCAAACAGGAAGACAGTGGTAACAGCTCATCCTAAGCCTCTGCTGAATAAATGGAAAGTCGTTATATCTACTGTCTCATTTGCTCCTCTACCCAGGAGGGAAGCCAGGCATTATTGTTTCAGTTTTATAGATGAGCAAATACGGGCTCCGAGGGGCCGGGGACTGACTTAAAGCCCCATTAGGAAGCAGCAGGCTTTCCTCCTCAGTCCCAGGCTCTCCCCACTGTATCCTACCTTGGGGGTAAACGCAACTTGGGGTTTAGGGTCATGCATATCCCATCATGTCATCCCCTGGCACTTAGAACTCTCCTTAAGAGTGTTTTGGAAGGAAACGTTAGGATTAATTTTCACAGATTAATACACTGTGAAGCTGGGCTGTTCCAGGCCAGCTTTGGAGAGCCACCAGCCACCAGCAAAGAGCCCTAGTAACTTCCAGGCCTCCCTTCCTAGGCTCCTCACCCCTAAAAGACATCCTTCTGCCTACAGGAAGCAGCTGGGCCCCACAGCCTAGCATTAAGTTCTCTCTACCACTGTCCACTAAATCCCAACCTTGATGGCCACTGGAAGGTGAATGCCCACAAGGCTAAGGCATCAGTGTTTCCAAAAATAAGCTAATGAATACAGTCTAAATCACCTTGTATGTGCTCCCTAATGACTGTGAACTGTATTTGCTGAATTTACATATATAAACAAAATTCTCTTTGGTCTTATCAGAGAAATGGATGTCCAGAGGAATATAATGGTGCAGAAGACTCAGACCAATGGCAATCTGTCCAATAATAGAGACACCTAAAACTAACAGCTGTGTATTAAATGAGAGAATTCCATACGTAATTAATTACATAGCTTAATTCTTAGCCTTTTAGGCATCGATTGAAATGTGACTACAAAAGGATGAGAAGTTAGTTTACACCATGTGAGACAGCGACAGAATAAATGCACACATGAAAGTATACATGATTATGGCAGATCACAGGAACACAACTATAGCAGAAGATGCCTTTCATACATAAGGCCAGCCTAATGCGGCATCATAATTAAGCTTGCGGATTTGCCCTATCGTAGCCACTTCTCAAATGGTTCTGATTTTTGTTATGGCAACAGAATATGGGGAGGGACAGAAGGCAAACACGACGAACTGATATGAAGCTGAGAAAAACTAAAATATTTGTTAGTTTCCCTTAGAAGTCCTCCTGAGACAAGTCAACCTTATAATTCACAGAGACAAGGTTAAAAAACAATTACAATACAAGTCTCAGCGGGACCTGAGAAAATTAATCCTGAACTTGTCCTTTCGGCTCGTTGTACTTTTGGCACCGTACACTATCCGAAAAGCAAAGATAAAGCCAGACCTCCCCCTCAATGGAAAACAGTCTTGATTTATCACTTGTAAGGTATTACGCTAAGTAGCACGCATGGAAAAAAAAAATCATACTGTCAGGATTTATTCTCTAAGACTCCATAAAACTCCCTGTTCCCCACTAACACTGACTTTATTACTCCAATTGGGCAGTTCCAAAACCAAAAACTTCACCCTGTACGACCTTGGAATCAAGCTTTTCCAGTAGATCTCTGCCTTATCTGAAAATGCCAAATTAACAGTCCAAATGGATGAAGGCCCACTAACCTTAGGCAACTTCTGGGGGTCCTTCTCCTTCTTGGTACACAGTGTCAGCTCACACTGTAGAAAGAGCAGCGAGGTGTTGAAGATGGGCTTGAAGACGAAGCTGAATCGCTTCTTATCCATCTCGGCTTGTGGGATAGGAAAGCGCACTCTCTTGGGACTGTAGAATTTCACAGATTCATCTTTAGGACAAATGTTCTCAATGATGGTATAATCAGACATCCTATCGGGGTTCGAATATGGAGAGATAAAGCATGTTTGGATAGCGAATCCCAGTTCCTGGTCAGCCTTAGTAACAGATACCTACAACAGGACAGAAAGATGAATTCAGAAATGAGTTACTCATAGCATCTCACTTTAACTTTACGCACAAGGACATTATACCAACATAGCCCTTCAGATGAGACATTGCTTTATTTTCATAACATATATATATAGCCTTATTTCTAATTACAAAAGTAACATTCATTCTTTGAAGAAAGATTATTTTCCATTTAAACCTGATATGGATGATGACAGCCAATTATTTAGTTCCAATACCAGTCTGGCAGATTCAAATACAGAATGAGTAAGGCTCTTCAATCTCCCATAAGTTCTCTGAGACATGAAAGCAAAAAGCACACCATGCACCTAAAGTGAATTTTCCAAAATAAATAAAACACCAATAGGCAAAGCCCCTAATGTCATAACAGTGTAATACTTGAAAGCCAAGCTCTTTCTAAAAATTGCTCATAAAATAGAGTACAGAGGCAGAATCTATTTAACCTAGGCAGGAAGACTGAGCTTTTAAACAGTAACAAGTCAGAGTCAGCCTGGAACATGCAGTAAAGCTTAAGTCCTGCTTCACCACAAGAAGGCAGAGCTGGCCTCTGGTACTGGATGTCAGGACGGTGCAATTTGGTGGCCATCACAGGCCTGGCAAAGTGTCCCAGCTGCTCATAGGTCCAAACCAGCCTTGCCAAGTACTTTCCCTTCAGTCTTTAAGCCCAGGGGTAGTTTAAGGGAAATCTAATCTGGAAATTTTTCCAACTCATTTACACGTCCCTCTTACAAAACATTTGTATGGGCTATGTCCAAATCTTGTTAAGGTTCTTTTCTTTAGAAACAAGAAGTAGTGTTTAGCCAAGTGTAAAGAGAATTCAAACCTCGACTAGCCTGAACTAGGCTAAAATCCCCAGACCAGCTTGGATTCTCCATTTGGTGACACAAGGATCACTGTGTGAACTGCCCCTACCCCCCAAGCCTCACTCCTTGACTAAACTTAAGATCAAAACAAACTTTAACACTTTAGAAATAAAGTTAGTCTGATTACCCATAGGCCAACAGCCCCAGATTCATTTCAAAAGACATGGAGATAGAAACAGACTTTCCATGTTGAGATACCCAGGGGAAATCCCGGACATCACGTGGGGCTTAGAATCCACAGCACCATGGATTCAAAACACTCCGTATAGATCCCTCTGTGGTTTAGTACAGGACACTCAACAATGGAGATGACGAGAAGCAGGAGGATGTGGATGAAGAGGATTATGATAATATCACCTTGTGGTCACCTTCTGTAAATACTGATACTTCATTATTTTTGCAATATTTTTGAAAAACAAGATATTCTATCTTGAAAAGATGGCAGATTATTTACATGTTATTACTAAAAAGTACCCTTTAACGTGAATTCAGAACCCACATTACAAAAATGTGTAACAGAGTGACTTCAAATCTTTTCTCTAATCTCAAAGTATGTAATGGCAAAATGTCTACAGCATCCCAAAAAGTTGTATTGGAGGAGAGAAAACATCACCAGCAATATTTTTTACTCTAAAACAGACTGGAAATGAATAGTAGAAGGATCACAGGCTTTGGAGTGAGACAAGTCCAGTGAAATCACATGCTTTGCCACTCATGTGCTGTGCACTCTGAGACTCAGTTTCCTCACCTGCAGGACGAGGACACTAGTATACTTATGAGACACAGTCATGGTGAGAATTGGTAAAGGAAAAGTTCTATGCAAACAACACGGTATCCAGACAGCCAACAAATGCCACCTATTATAGTAGTACTGTTCTAGATTTAAAATTTTTATGGTAATTAACAGTTGTTTATAGTTGTTTATGTAAGTTTTACTTAACCTAAGTAAAAAATTTTCCTATCAGCAATGGAGTCCAAACTAACCCAAAGATTAGGCATGGCCGCTATCCTAATTTGCAAAACATTTATAGATTCTATCTTATATTTTTGGTAGTTTAAAACAACTTAAAATAGAGTAATTGATAACATTTTCCCTCTCCCCAAAGTCTCCTTAATGTACTTGATATTTAAAGTGGTAGCAAAAAGATTAGGTCCATTTCCTTTTAATCACTTGACAATCTCTTTTTCATAGTTACCAAATTTAACTACAAAAAATATAGATGAAATATGAAGATATAAATGGGAAAACAAGGATGAAAAAAAAAAACCCTACCAAAAACATATTTCAAGTAAGCACGTATGGGTGGCGGGGGACTCAAACTATCCAGCGTAAGTAAGATACGCAAGGACGATTGGCCACTGATTAGCATAAACCAACAAAGCCATGAATTAGCAAAGCCAGGCACACATTTGGAGAAGAACAAACGGCACTTAAGCAGCACCCCTAAAACCCACAGCACAAGAGGGAGTCATTGACCAACAGCACGTGTAGACTGCACGGGCAAAAAAGCAAGAAGAAAACAGGAGTCTTGGATTAGGAGACATCTATGATGAGGAACAGCATGTAGAAAGCAATATATGTTTCACAGTGGAGAAAAAACTTGTACTCAAAGAAACAGAAGAACTGTCAGAACAGGGAGTCAAAAAGAGGAGGGGCAGAATCCACATGATCGAGGAAGACAATACCTAGAGCCAGCAAGCTCCATCCCAGAGTCAGCGCAAATGTGAGAGTTCCTTGTCTTTCCCAAATAGAAATATGTGCACTGAAGTCACTTTTAACTGTGGAAATACCCCATTTCGACCTTATAAGCTTCTCACCCCTCTCACTGTGAAGGAGGACATCAGCTCGCAGCTCAGCATCAAACACCTGCTCATCAGACAACGACTTTCCCCTAAGACCAGCAGACAATATGCCCAGTTGAAACACTAAACGTTGTACCGGGGCACAAGAAACAGCAGGCATCCTGATGCCGTAAGATTCATCTGCTCTAGAATCCAATCTGTGAACCTGGATATCTGCATTGATAAGAGGCCATGTTTTCTCCCCCATCAAACGGCACTTTGAGGATAAATGATAGTAGCATCCAGTGGAGAACAGGGTGAGCTCTGCAGACAGAAGGCCTGAGTAAGACCTCTGAATCTGAACTCCGCTGGGCACTAGCTGTGTGACCTCAGACAAGCTAGTGCCTCAATTTTCTCATTCATAAAATGGAAATATTATTAGTCCTGTCACATAAGATTGCTCTGCAGAGTTAATTAATTGTTACAATATTTATAACCGTGTTTGGCACATAAAACTGCAGTAAATGTTAGCTGTCATTTTATTATTAGCACCACTACCTACTATTTTGTAGTCATTCCAGATTTATGCTATGCTTAAATTATTATTATGCATAAGAAATAGTTTTAATAAATTTATATAGATATTTAGATGATCAGGAAAAAACAATTTTTATGAGACAGGGTAGCATGCAGCATTTCACTTAAAAGTGAGCACAATTTAAATGACAACATAAGAGGCGGTTTGCAATATTTCATGGTCAACTCTGAGATTGCAACTACTGAACTATTAATACTATTTCAAAAATGCAAAGGACAAGGCAAGGACAGGGCTTTATTAGTAGAATTTACACTCTTGTTGATTTTTTTTAAACATTCATCAACAAAATATACTCTCCATTTAGCATAATGTATTAGATCCTGAAATTTCCTGCTTTGATCGGAATCAACCTGGAAACATTCTCTGAGCCAAGCCACCATCACAGCTGATTGAGGTCTGTGAGGAGGAGCAGGAAGAGGTCTGCACCGGGTGCTTTAGCTACTGCCAGGGAACTACAGCTCAGCACTAACCTAAAAGCCCAAGGCCAACGTTCAGGTCTCACCTCAACATAAACGTGTCCATTCTCTGCCACAGAGAAGACCCCCTGGGAGGGCACCAGAAAGAGGTCAGTGTTGTAGAGCTCCATGTTGAAGGTGATGTTTCCATGGAGCTGGTCCTGGAAGCTACTGGGATTCCTCACCTGCCGCAGGCTGCAATTAAACTGGGAAAAAACCCAAACGAATGAAGATAAATCATAGTCACAAGAAGTGTGAAGGCCCCGTAGCTTTACGAGCTTTGGCCTTTAACATCCAATTTCATTTTCTGATCGTCCTTAATGAAAGCCAACAAATAGTCAACAGTTCTCTACAAACTACCTGTTGACAACAAACACTCACCACCACAATTTCAGGTCGGCTGAATAAGGAAGCATCTCCTTCATCCATATCTCCTGGAAATCCATTATCACCTGACTCCAAATCTTCATAACCATCTGGCCAACCACTACTATCCCCTGGGGATGGAACCTGTATTACAATCTAAAAGGCAAAGAAAGCACAGCCAATGTTATAAAAACACCAAACCACAAGCATTTGGTTCTATCTCACATGAACACCCATATAATAAATTCAGATGCAAATTGAAAATCTGACTTTAAAACAAAAAACAAAAAAACTCCAAGCTTTTTAGGATTTTACCCTCAAAGCAATAAAGAATAAGGAGAAGTTCAATGCAGGTTCAAGTTAAGGTCTGAACTAAAATTTGTATCTTCCCTTATGAAAAATATTGATTTATTTTGTAACTACATTGAATAATTACAAATTATTTGAACGGTGGGAAACCAAGCTTTTTAGGATTTTACCCTCAAAGCAATAAAGAATAAGAAGAAGTTCAATGCAGGTTCAAGTTAAGGTCTGAACTAAAATTTGTATTTTCTCTTATGAAAAATATTGATTTATTTTGTTTATTGAATACTTACAAATTATTTGAACGGTGGGAAAACACTAGACACTGAAATGGAGTTGAATGGGCTTGTTAATAGGCTCACCTATGCTGTGAGAAGGGGGTTCTCCTTAAGGGTCTTTATATTAAAAACTCTAAGAAATACTAAGAGTTGGCTATTGCCAGGAGCTTTTGTTATTTGTATCTCTTAAGGTTTGTAGAAAATTGAGTTTGAGGGTTAGGCATGGTGGCTCACAATTCTGATCCCAGCACTTTGGGAGACGTAAGCAGGAGGATCAGTTGAGCCCAGGAGTTAGAGACCAGCCTGGGCAACACAGCTAGATCCCATCTCTACAAAAAGTAAAAAAAAAAATTAGCCAGGCAAGGTGGCCACACCTGCAGTCTAAGCTACCTGGGAGGCTGAGGAAGGAAGATGACTTGACTCCAAAAACTGAAGGCTGCAGTGAGTTATGATGATACCACAGCACTCTAGCCTAGGCAACAGAGTCAGACTCTGTCTCTAAAAATATTGAAAAAAAAAAAAAAAAGAAAGAAAGAAAAAAGAAAACTATAAGAAAAAGAAATTTGGCTTGAGTTAGAAACAAACGACCTAACTCAAGTAAAAGACCTTTACTATGGAGCCAATCTTCTCATCTTTGCTCTTACACTCCTCTATCTTTTGCTCATTTCTTCCCCAATATCTTTCTGCATGGTGTATGGATGTAGAAAAGAACATTATGTTTTATTCCAGGACAACTATCTTAATGTTAGTTGAAATTATTATTCCTTGATTAGTTCAAAATAAAATGCAAAAACTCACCCAAGGATGATGACCCCAGAAATAAAACCCTAATTTCTTGAGAATGAAGGAAAACCACTTGTCTCTTCTTTACCAAGTCCTCAAAATAAAGTATTGATACAAGAATTGTAGGGTCATAATAAATGAATGAATGAATGAAAGTACTGATGCAACTGAAGCAAGTATTTAGGATATTGTTAATCCTGAACATCATAATAAAGAAATAGCCAAACAGCGAGAGCCTGTAATCTCAGCTACTCAGGAGGCTGAGGCAGGAGGATCACTTAAGCCCAGGAGTTCAAGACCAGCCTAGGCAATGTAGAGAGATCTTATCTCTTAAAAAAAAAAAAAAAGAAAGAAAAAAGAAAAAAAAGAAAGAAAGAAAAGGAAAGAAAAGAAAAAGAAGGAAAACAAAAATATATGAGAAATGAGAAAAAAGGGACTTTCAGGGGTCATGGATATGCCTTTCTCTCCTTAAGCAACCAACACATTTTACTCAACAGATCTATTACCATAGCCTCTTATTAGTGTTAACTTAGATATCAATTTTAAAATGTCAAAATCAAGTTTATCAGTAATATATGACATTCATTATCTATGGAAAAACTGGATAAATGCAAGAAAATTAGTGTTGTAATTAGCAGGAAGTCACGGGTTAATAAATTAATTATTTTAGTAACAAAGGGAGATTAGCTGGGCCAGTATGGTGTCAGGGAAAGATTAGTGGATGAGAGGTCAGGAAGCTGGATTCAATCCTGGCTCTGCCATTAACTAGACCCTCACCTCAAATCTAAGAAGTCTTTCAACTCCCCGGAGTTCAATTTCCTCACCTGCTAAATGAGGAAGTTGAATGAGCTCATCATAGGGTTCTTTCCAGCTCCAACATTCTAAGATTCTCTGAGGAACACTAAACTTGGGCTCACAGGAGAGCCACTGCACGTGAACCACACTGACCAGAGGCCCTGCTTGCCAGCCTCTCTGCTCTGATTGCCAGGCATATTGGGTGACTGGCAGCAGAAAGAACTTGTAGCCGCAGCCCACCCCAGCCCACGTCCCAGCTGGAGTGAGCCCTAAGAACACACACACACCCACCTCGTGTCAAAGGTGGGCACAGGGATCTCTCAGCCTTGTTTTTACCATCAAAAGTACAACCCAAACTTCAAAATTAGCACTTTAAAGTTCTTTTTGAGATTTCATGTTTCAAATTCTTTTAATATTCACTGCCTAGTTTCATTTCTAAGAGAATGGGTTTAATCTGAAAAGATGCAGATGAACTGACAAGGAGGGTTTCTGGAAAGTGAAGGTCAGCTATCGCAATGGGTGATCACTGGACGAACTCTGTGGATCTTCTCCAGGTAACCTCAAAGGTAGGAGATTTTCCTCAATTTAGGGTCTTTGTTAGAGGTGGAGAGAGAGACTTAATACTTTCTTAAAAGCCCTTTTCAGATTTTAAATTCTCTTTTTGGATCTTTATTCATAAGGGAGAGAGAAGTCCTCCTACTTCTGGGCAAGACTCAAATAAGGCCAGAGAGACCACACATCTGGTTGGCTCGGTTGTGTAGAGGCGCTTACTCATCAGCTCAAGGCCTTGGCCCTTATCCCCACAAGCACCAGGGCAGTTTGGCTACAGAGAGAAGTCATAATCACCTTGCCAGTGAACCTTTTGCCATCAGGGGATGAAAGGAAGGGCTGGGTGAGATCACCCCAATTCCAGCTGAGAAAACAGGGCCTCCCAACTCCTTTCAAAGACTCACCAATACAGCAAATAGAACAAAAGAGTTCCAGGTCAAAGTACACCCTATTTGTTCAGAAGTGACACTTGGCTTTGTTCAGGCCTGGGGTATATGCCCTTCCTCATTTTCACAGAAATGTTAAGACTGATTCTAAGGTAACATGCAGCAAGGCTCTGGCAAATGGCAAAGCTTTGCTCGAGAGAACACTCACGGAGTTATAGTAAACCACACCATCGGGGGCCGACCGCCGGTGCCGAGTGCCGCAGCCATTTAGGGGAGACTCCAAAACGAAGTGGGTGCCATTCATCCTGGCCTTGCAGGCAGGATCCAGCAAGGTGAGCTCCATTCCTGAGTAGCCATTGGCCTGAAACAATAACCACCAAAGACATGAAGGAGGGCCCACAGGGGGGTCTCTGCGGCACACAGCTGACACGTGCTGCCTGGTCTTCCGAGTCAAGGCCGCTAGAGGCCCGCGGCACACCCCTCCCCACTCGCCTCTTCCCAGCCGCCCGCCGCTCAACGGCCCAAGTACTATGTTTGTTAGCCTTGGAAATTCAATGGCAAAATATTGACACACACGGATCTGGAACCTCCCCTCACTGAGAACAACAGGAACTGGTGAGAATCGCAGCCAAAGGGAAGTAGAACCATCCAACTGAGAAAACAGTATTAAAAGTCTCTGGAGTTCAAAAGTGAAAGAGATAAGAGGAAATAATGGACACGGACTGGGGCGAGGCAGCAAAGGAGGCGGCCTCTCCTCTCCCCTGTAAGAGACTGCACTGACCTGAAAAGAATCTTTTTCTACAGCCACGATCATCTTCTCGTTGTCACATTTGACTGACAGGGCAACATCCATGCTTCCGTGCACCTCTTCCGGCTCTCTGGGGCCAGGAAACAGCTGTATGCTGGGGATGGCAGGGTCCCTCGGCCGGGGGATCCCATCTTCTCCCCCTTCCTTCCAGCCTCCCCTGGAGATATCAGGGAAAGGAAAGGGGAGGCCTCCACTTCGGCCTCCCCCGCCCCGGATGGGCGGGTTCTGCAGCGCGGGCAGGGTGCCGGGGTCCAGCAGGATCCGCAGCTCAGGAGGGATAGTATGGACTTCCTCATCTCTCATCTCCTCTGGTGGTGACAAGGAAGGCAAAACTTCATCAGTGTTTGATGCCAGGCCACGATCATCATCATCGGAGGTAGAACAGGAGGAATTAGCACACACTGGGCAGGTGTAAAATTACTTTTAATAAGCAATGTACAAAAGTGATTAGGAGTCTGGAAGGCTGAATTCCAGTCCTGATGTTCTCTCTAACTAGCTGAATGGCTTTGGGCAAGTGGCTTACTTCTCTGTGCCACAGTTTCCCAATTTTTAAAATGAAGGGGCTGGAATTGATCAGTAGTTCTCAACTTTGGTGTACATTAAAATCATTTGGTATACACAAAGGAATATTATACGGTCACAAAAAGGAACAAAATCCTGCCATTTGAAACAACATGGATGGAATTGCAGAACATCACGTTAAGTGAAATAAGCCAAGCACAGAAAGACAAATCTTGCATGTTCTCAGTCATATATGGGACCTAATTATTAAAAACAATTGATCTCATGGAGATAGAGAGTAGAATGACAGTTACCAGAGGCTGGGAGGGGTATTGGGGAAGGGGACATAAGGTGGGGATGGTTAATGGGTTCGAAAATATAGTTAGAGAGAAGGAACAATATTTGATAGCACAACAATGTGACTATAATCAGCAATATACTTTAAAATAACTAAAAGAGTGAAATAGGAATGTTCCTAACACAAAGAAATGATAAATGCCTGAGGTGATGGGTACCCCAATTACCCTGATTTGATTAATTCACACTGTATGCCTGTATCAAACATCACATGTACCCTATAAAGATACACACAATTGTTATGTACCCATAATAATTCAAAATTTTTAAAAATCACTTTGGGAGCTTAAAAAATATCCCTATGCCTAGGTTGCACCCCAAGCCAATTAAAACTCAGACTTTCTGGGGTGGGACCCAATCATTACTATGCTTTAAGCTCCCTGTATAATTGTAATGTGTAGCCAAGGTTGAGAACCAATGGGGTAGATAATTTCTAGGGTTCTATAAGCTATAAAAATCTGTGATTCATGTAAGTTATATGGGACAATATTATTCCATTCAAATGTCATTGAAATACTTTCCTTGAATCTAGAGATTCTTTTAGTTTCTCTAAAGATGTCTTGAAACAACATTGGTATTTTAAAATTATTATTTTGCTATCTCCTCTTTGACTGCTAAATTCTAACAGGTATCTGGGTGATCTGGCCTTTTAGAACCTAGTCCCTAAGGGGAAAAGAAAGAGCTACTTAGGCACACTTACTCCTTCAAAGGGAGAGACATTTCCATACAAGCAATACTCAGTATTTTGTCATACTTTCAATAATTTAAAAGAAATAATAATGTCCCCAGTATTCTTTAAATTCACTATCTAACGCCAACAGATGTACGCCTGAGGTCAAATCCATCTCAGTGGAAGCTGCAAGTGAAGATGACAGGTGGACATTCTCTCTCCTTCAATATTACCCTTTTGAAAAAGATGCTACAAATGTATGAGTCCAAAGGAAGTCAGAGCTTTGGAGGATTTGTAATTTGTATTTTAACAAAAACCTTCACAACAACCCTGTTAAGGTAGGTCCTATTATCCTTTCCCCATCACTAGAGAAGAATCTGAGGCTCAGTGGTTAAGTGACTTCTCACTAAATAGTGAATAAATGGCAGAGCGGGGACTTGAACCTGTTACTCCCAATCTTCCTTCTATTGGCATTACACTCAGTAGCGGTACCATGGGGTGAAGAACAGGTCTGGAGATCAGAAAACTTGGAGTTTGAGTCATACTAGCTTAAGACTCTGGAAAACCTCAAGAACTTGTTGAACCTCTGGTTTCTGCTCCATCAACCTGGGGTAGTAACTCCTGCCTGCATTCTGCGTAAGAAACCCCAAGGATCAGTCCTCGTGACTACTTTCCTATAAGATTCAGCCTCTGACCCTGGCCTTCTCTTTTGCGGTCTTAACCCATCTGTATTCTCAGCCATAAGTGGTCGTTGGGTGCCTCTGAGAGAATCACTTAATGTAATCATGCTAGAGATGATCTATAACAAAGTTCTCTGATGTGCGACCAACTCTATATTACTGAAAAACCTGTGTTAAAGACAGGGATAATTTTCATACAACTGAAAAAAAATTCATATTTACCATTGTTTTCAAGCCGAAGGTGAAATCTATTAGCCACAGGAGCCATGGTGTATGATGTTACTGGACTATAGCCATTGTCCAAAGCCCACTTTATCAGATTCCCTTGGGTTGAAGGAATGTCATCTCTTATTGATTTGGTCATTGTCATGGATCTTTCACTCTCTTTCCCAAAGCCAATACTGTTAGGAGCCTGAGGATAACAGCAAAATTTCACTGATGAGTCTAAAATTAAAGTGTTTAAATAATAATAATTAATATCTGAAATAAAAATAGATTCTATACTGTATGTGGGGGAATTATTTATTCTTTTGATCCCTATTTTCCTTGGGCTAAGACAACTGAGGTGAAAACTTTTAACAGCAGATTAACAGACATCGATGCATGCTGTTTGATCATACCATTTGGATCTTACATTGATAAAAATAATCAAGTAACATGTAAGTAGCTATATTCTAGGTATACCTTAGCCTGTAACTCTAGAGTTAGTCTAATGTTTAAACTATTAACACACACCAAATACGTATAACAAACTTTCCCTTCTTACTTTTATTTAAAATTATGTATGAAAGTATAACATACAAACGTTCATGTTACATTGCTCAAAAATGTCCACGCTTCTACTTCCGGTACTCCTAGGTTTAAATGAAAGATGACACAATCTAGTTATGAGTCATGTATCACTTAAGGACAGGGATATGTTCTGAGAAATGCGTCTTCAGGTGATTTCATCATGTGAACAACATAGAGTGTACTTACACAAACCCAGATGATATAGCCTGCCACACACCTAGGCTATTGCTCCTAGGCTACAAACCCGTACAGCATGTTACCATACTGAATACTGTCGACAACCATACCACAGTGGTAAGTATTTGTGTACGCAACCTATCCAACCCCAGAAAAGGTACAATAAAAATGCAGTAGTATAATCTTCTGGGACCACTGTCATACATGTGGACCATTGTTGACCGAAACATTGTTATGTGGCACGTGACTGTACTCCAGTGTGGAGGTTATGCCGTCTTTATAAACTATTAAGTTCTACACAATGAAACAACCAGTGTTTATATTTCATCTATAATTTATGATCAATTTAGCAATCCCGTAATTGTATTCATTTTCCAATTCTGTAACTGAATATGCTTACATTCTATGTTCTAAAAATTAATTTACGTTACTGTTCCTCTAAATATCAATATTTTATCCAGTAATACAAGTCACTCATAAGATTAGCTTTCACTAGATAACTAGTTATAAAATCAAAATGATAGAAATATTTTCGGCAAAGTATATAAATGGACCCTGAGTAACCAGGACGTGGAAGGTAAATTTCTACACCACCTGCTGACGCCTGCAGCGGCGATCCTGTCAGGGGATGAGGGAGCTGAATGCTGCAGTGGGGACGCCCAGGGAAGGCACCGGATTTTCAACAACTGCTCCAACAGGGTTGGAAAGCCCTTCCAGCACACAGATTATGCCATTTTCATGCCGTAAGAAAATTGCTTTAATTTTCATGCCCAGTGATTTTCTCCTGCATACATGCAGCATTTTTCTTAAATTCCTCATTTGTTTCCCATTCTCTTTGCCCCTAACATAACGAAATATTAATCCTTTCCCACTGTAAAACCATAAAAGATTCACAGGCTCTAAGTTCCCTTTGGCCTGTTTGGTTGTGGGATATTGGCTGAGGACACATATTTCAATTCAAAGCTTAAAGGATCTCACCTCATACATTTTCCTATTACCCAAAGCGCTTATCTGTGGGAAAACTGCCAGACTCGCCAGTCACAACAACTGCGCACAAAGGAACCAGACAGAGCTCTAACCAGGTTTGTAAACTCAGCTCAACAGATTCAGAATATTTTAGTTCTAACTCCAATTCAAAGAAAACTCCTTAGGGGAAGGAAGGGTTAAAAGAAAGGAGGAAGTGAGGGAAGAAAGGAAAGTAAAAGGAGGTAAAGAAGGATCCAATTTGTTCTTAGAACTTTTTTTTCCTTTAGAAGCTAAGAAAAACCTGGTTGAGAACTTTTTTTTATTCATTTAGTCAACAGCAGTTTCTCAGGCACAGCTTCTTCCAGACTTTCAAAGCAGCGTGTCGTTTGGATTGGCTGGAATCACACCACTGGCCTAAACAATACTGCTTGGCCTCATCTGCCCTAGTTTTTCATGTTGCTGGACAGCTGAGAAAATATCTTATTTCCAGAACACTGTCATCATAACTACCACCTGTCCTTTTGTACCAATATGGAATGATCTATTTATGCCTTTCCACATTAAATCTAGGTGCTATACATCTCATATTGATTATGCTTCAGAACTTAAAAGGCTATACATCCCTCTTTACATTTGTAAAGCAGCAAGGCTTGGGACGATAGCAAGCAAGATGGTTCCCAGCATTGAACAAACTCACCCTGTATTTCTGGGAGTCTGCAGGCTTTTTCCAACTTTAGTGGAGCTACTCCAAATGAGGGTGTTTAAGGAGGTCTCCAAATACTACCACTATCTTTCCCAGCCACATCTTCATGAAAGACGATGAGCTAGGTAAAGAGTCCAAATGCCTACACCCCCCATATTTGCATCAGAATTGATGGTATAGGGGAGGGGGTGTTTGGGGAACGGGTTGGCCAGAGACTATAGTGCATATTCCCACCGGGATTTAAAAAATGTTCTTTGGCCAGCACCAACCTTGAAGTCCTGAGTTCACATGAAATAATGTAAGAGTAAACCTTTAACAAGTTTACTCCATCTATTCTGTTTTGGAGGTTCTTCTTGCCATAAAAGTGATTATGCGTGGTCCATAGCAGACCTGAGGAACAAGCCAGAGCCGGACATGGCGATGCAGACACTTCTACCCCCGACACACATGCACAAGCCACCCATGTTTAATGGGGCTCTTCTTCAAATTTACTCCATCAAGTTCCTTACAATTCCTTTAGCAAACATTTTTCTTTGTTTCCACCTTGTTCAGAGAAGCACTCTATTGTTCTTACAGACACACTCTTAACGGGTTGCTTATGGAAGTTTGCCCATGCCCCCTTTTTATGCCAGGCACTGTGCTAACAGCTTTACATATATTATCTGATTTAATTCTCCTCCAGAATATAAGGAGAAAGACGTTACTATTCCTTTTTTAGAGAAAGAGAACCTGAGACTCACAGAAATTAAGTAGCACATGTAACTGAGAACTCACCACGTGCAGGCCACGTGGCCAGTGTGTCTAGTGCTTTAGATGAAATACCCTCTACACCCTTAACAAATGTAGTCAAATGAATGAATGAGTGAACAAATTCAGCTAAACCTCACAATAACTCTCAAGGTGAGTTATTATTTGAAGGTGAGTTATCCCACTATCTACTGGGAGTAATGACAATTGGAGATGGGATTTAAACTAGTCCTATCTGGCATGAAGCCAAGATTCCTTCCACTCTACCATGCCATCTCTAAAGGAAATACTAGAAGCAAGGTCTCTATAAACCGTTTCTCCCTTTCTAAGCACTAATTTATACCTTTGTAGTAGCAGGTACCTTCCCCTCACAGCACAGTCAGAATTCACATCTGAAACAGGGAGTTGAGAAATCACAAAGCGTAAAACTGATTGGGAGAATAAAAAAGAACATCGTGAAACATTACCTAATTGTTAAGTAATGTTGTCATGCATTGTCCAAAATTGGGCTGGAACAGGAGTACGGCCAAGGAGAGGAATATAAACAGATCTTGCATTGGGATTAGCAATCTCATATCTAGCCATTCTGATTCATATGAGAGATGGGGACATTCAGAGCAAACGCCAGGACTGCCACAGACCAGGCACACACACTCAGAGGGAAAGAGCCACTGAGGGGTCAGAGCGAAAGAATATTTACACAAGAACTCCAGCAGGGAATTAAAACGCACCGTATGTTTTTGCCTTTCAAAGCATGATTCCCTTTCCTGTTTTTGTTATTCTGAAATTAAAAACATTTGGTTGGTGTGCCAGGCAGCAAAGGCAGCAGACATCCCAGGTCACCAACACCCCCCACACCATGCCAGGGAAGGCAATCAAAACATCTCTGACTTTAGACAATCACGGCTGGGTTTGGGGCTTGACACAAAATTAATGTATCACTGTTACGCATGATGGCACATTGGGATCCTCTCAAAGTTTGAAGGAAAAAACCCACAGGAACCAGAAATGATCACTTTAAAATTAAGATGTGTGTGCTCGTGGCTTTGCCTGCTGCCTCTGGTGAGTGCTTTTCCATGACGTTGCCTAGGGAACCGTTCGCTTTGCTCACTGCAGTATCAGTGGAAGGTGCATGAATGAATGAATAATACCAAAACCAAAGGCATCCCTGTCCCAAAATAGTGAAAACATAAAACCCACTTTGATTGATTCAATTCAGGCACTGAAAGAGAAATTGGCCAATTTTTTTTTTAAAAAAGACAATACATAAAAATTTGAACCTACAAGAGATGCTAAATATGTAATTATCTTCTTCAAAAATGGGGAGGAGGATCTTTAACTTTCAACATAATTCATTCCAATATTCTGCCAAATAGTTATTCCCCAAACATATTTGAGATAAGATTTATTTCACCAAATTTCAACATTCAACTTTTCAGAAAACCAGCTGCTGTTCACCTATCATGCCAACCAGCTAAGCCTCATTAGCACACTGCCTTCATTAAAGAGAAGGCTTAAGGCATAGGCTGGACGATACTTTTCCACTGTCATCTCACTAACCTTGCAGTCACTGTGGTTTCTCACCTTTAGAAGTTAGAAGCAAGCAAAAAGATATGCTGATATCACATATTTAACTCAACATGAAAAATCTACGATGTGAGTTGGGGTCACCCTAGTTTCCCATACCTTCCCTAAGTACCTAATGCTAAAGTAAGGGCTGATATTCAGGACCGTGACGCTGAGGCCTTAGTCTGCAAACTCCTCGACTGCTCCTCAACTCTGACTGGAAAGAACACTGATACATTCAGGAATTCCACACATGAGACAGCTGGAATTTGAGAGGTTAAGGGACTTGCCATGGAAGAGCCTGGACTTAAACCTGGGTCTGTCCTGACCCCAGAGGCCATGTTTTAACCACTGTATCTATTTAGAGGTGTGGTCCGTGCAGGAGAAGCCTATTTGGCAAAGGGAAACATCACTGAGAGAGCTTAGAAAGTCCAAAGAGGCAGAAAGTTTACAAAATAACACATACAAGCACAGCTTATGTGACTGTTAGTCATGAAAACAAAGAAATGCTGGACCAACTTACAATAACTTTCAGGTTTCCTTTAACATCAAAAGATTTGATCACCCAGTTGACAGATTTTTTGCACTTCAAGATCAGGATGAGATTTTTGACCACCTCAGGATCCTCTCGAGAAGGTCTTATATCAATTATTATATCCACCTGGAAAGCACTGCGAATGGGAAACAAAGGCGAAGTTAGGACCTAAATGCCAGAAAGTTGCAACTATCTCCCCTCTTCCAAGTCTTCATGTTTCCAGTGTCTGGCCAGTTGATTAAAACGCTGGAGTTGATCCCAGGCCAATGACATGTGCAAAACAGATTGTTATTGCTCACATAACAAAATAGTTTTACATAACAATAGAAACATACGCCTGCTGATAATTAGCCACTAAAGTTTTTCTTTTCTTTGGGGAAAAAAAAAGGTGGTTACTTAATGTAGCCACTGTTTGAGATGGACTTGAACGAACCAGAGAGTTTACTTTTTGAAGGAGGATGATTGCTTTTTCAACCTTCGACACCTTCGATGTAAAACTTCCCAACTTGGCTATGTATGCTCAAATTCCTTCAAAATGGAAGGGGATGGCAGTTTGGGGAGTGGGGGACGGCAGGGAGAAGGGAGGCATGGTAGTTAAACAAAAAAAAAAAGGGAAACTTCAGAATAAAATAAGAGGCAAAAGGCTGAAGAATTTCTTGATTTATATAAGGTTTGCTTAAGCCATTAACAACTGCTACAGAATCATATCTGCATTTACTTTTCCAAACTTCTGGATATACAGTTATTAAAATAAAGAAAACAGATGGTCAACCAAGTGATTACTGGAAAATTGATGAACACAACCCAAACTTCTAAGAACTCAGAATTTTTTACTAAACAATAACATCTCTGTCATTCTGAATTAAGGGAAAAGTCTTTATTTCCATCTTGCTTTTACACACTTGTAAAGCACAAAATATGTGGTACACTCCAATGAGGCCTTAGGTTTAATATCTAAGCACATTTGTCACATTGCTTCTATTCTTGTTCTCTTTTAACTTTCCACAAAATTCTTTGTGCAGACAGGACAGAATCTTATACCAAAACTGATCTGTAGTTTGTTCATTTTTAAAATCAAAACTTGATTAGAATTTTTATTTTGAAATCCCTCTACAATATAAATTTGAATTAAGTCACTATAGTCTACCTGAAATGCAAGCTAAACTGGGAGAAGGACCTAACTTTTCCTTCTTTTTCTTTCTTTTTTAAAATTCTCTAATTATTCTCGACAGAGAGGGTCAAATTTCCAGTCCAGGGCTAGGAAGGTGACGGGGAGAACACACACACAAGGAAGAGGCAAGTTGCACCTAACAGCTATATGCTATGTCACCACAGAGGGCCTCTCCCCAGAGAGAGAGAGAGAGAGAGAGAGAGAGAGAGAGAGAGAGAGAGAGAGAGAGAGACACACACACACACACACACACACACACACACACACACACACACACACAGCTTTAAAGCAAGCAGTTCTGAGTGCGTAAGTGCTCTAAGGACACAACTTTATTAAAAACAGGATGCTACTAAAATGATAATTATGTTAATAAGGCACATTCTGTAGTTTTCTTATCAGGCATAGCCTTAGTCAAAGGGGATAATGATGGAGTGACTGTGTCCTAAAATGCCCAGAAGTTTCGAACAGCTTCAGGAACTCATCTGTAACATACGGGATCTAGAGACAGACACGGAATATAAAATACACCACTGGTGCCTTTACTCCCTTCTTCAAGGCTTCTGTGAGCCACACTTGACCTCGATGGCTCCCTTCCCTCTCCTGACCTCAAGTCAAGGAAGATCTTTACTTTCGTCTCTTCTCAGGTTAGAAGACACACACACTCACACACGCTTACCTGTAGGGGTTAGAGTTGGGCGTGATCAACTCGATGATGTGTACTTCCTTATCCTGGGGCTGGCTGGACATCACACACCCTTCTGCAGCTTTGGGTTGAAGGTACTCGGCGAGGTAATTGAGCGAGAGAAAATTCTTCCCTATGTTGCACGTCGGGGGGAACACTTGATCTGAAAGTCAAGCAGCACAGGACAATCTTTCAAACCCCCGAGCTACGTGATAACTGGATTCAAAGGAAAGAGGGTGATGGTGACACTGAGCAAGTGCAGGACACAAGAACCATAAGCCGGAGGGAGGGGCCTTAATCTGCAACCCCCTCAACCACTGCCCTGAAATGCCTCCCATTACAGTCACCAGTAACCTCCTCTTGACCAACTCCAGTGGCCTCTCTTTGTCTGAATTCTCTCCTTTCTTGTTCTCTGTGATACTGCCTGTCCTCGTCCATTTCCCCTGACCCATCTTTCACGTCTCCTCATTGTTCCTCCTCCTCTGCTCATCCTTTGAAAACCAGCAGTCCTCAATCTTTGGTGCACGTCAGAATCCACCTGCTTGGACCCCAACTCAGAGAATCTGATTCAGAACATCCAGGCGGGGCCCAGGCAGCTTTCCTTTTTAAAAATCTCCATAGTTGATCCCAATATAAACCAAGGCTAAGAACCTCAGCTCCTTCCTCAGTCTTCTTTTTGTCTCACATTTTTCCTAGATGATCTCAATCACTCCCGCGGCTTCGACTTGTGCCTAGATCCTGACTCCTTTTCTGGGCTGTAGACTTGTACTGTCATCTGTCTACCAAGCATCTCCCACCTAAAAACCCAATAGGTACGTGCTTCATTCAGCACACTCAACACGGAGTCCACTATCTAGCCTACCCCCAAGGGCACTCCTCCTCAGACATCTGCTGTTTCAACTAGCAGGAGAACCAGCCACCTCATTAATTCTCTGGCCCACCATGTAGAATTAGTCATTCCCTTATAATTACTCCTCACAGAACTTTATTCTCCAAAGATTAAAGGTAGGAGTTCGGGAGAAACAAGGAAGGCAGACTTTCACTCTCTCTCACAGTCTCGACACAGACAACCACTGTTTATGTGGCACTTTACAGTTTACAAGCTGCCTTCACAAACATTATCTCATTGTGCTGAGGCTTGCTCGCCACCTCCACCCGGAAAAGTGATGCAAGTACCACGAGACTGAGGACAATCCCCCGACGGCACATGCCATTTCCACAGCACTGTGGTTGATGGGATTTCCATACAGTGCTTTAAATGTTTAAACAGAACTTGAAAGAAACTGCTGGCAGTGTGACAGCTGGGACCAATGTCAAGGAAGTTCTAGGTGTAGCAAGCTTTTTTCAGAAGGGGTAATTAATCAGAGGCCTGGCACTATAATAAAACAGACTTCTGCCTTTTTCATTTTAAGGATAGGACGCCAGGGTTCAAATCCACATGGAAGTCTCACGCAGGAATAAGGAGTCAGCCCAGGAGGGCACAAGATGGGGTTGCCATTGCCTTTCCCCCACCCCAACTTGTGCAACCCCCTTGTGCCGAAGTCGGCAGCACACACTGGGCATCACAGCTCTGGCCACCACAGCACCCCCGGCACTACCCCTAGAACAGAGGGGACCAAAGCAGTTCACAAGGTCCCTGTTTGTGAGGCTCACTCAGGAGAGTGTTGGCTCTGCACTCCGCAGGCTTCTCTAAAATCCCCCAGGGAGAAAAGCCCAAGGCTGCCGACTCAGGCTGCTAGAGCAGCCTCCTTCCAACATCTGCTGAGGGCTTTGCCAGGAGCAGATGAGGTATGCACACTGCGCAGCTGCAGCCTGCGGATGCCTCCCCCAGATCACAGGATGGAAAATGATACTGAATGGCAGGGCTGAAATTTAATTAAGAAGATGTGTGCATGGGCCGGGGACAGGCCAGTCTGAGACTAGGACCCTCCTGGGACTATGGTCTGCATATTCAGTTCATAGGTGTGCCTGGTGTGTATCTGGCATGTAGCAGGCATATAGAATACGTTTCCTGAATTCACAAACAATGATGTGAGATTTGAGACAAATAACAAAACATTCACCCATGTTTAGCCACTAGGAAAGGTTTAATTGTTTAAAAGTTGCTATTTTTAAGGGCTCCAGTTCCAGATGCTATTGTCACTAAGTCGGATAAGCCGATCCCTTTCTGTTGTGTGTGCGGTCCCCCTCCTCGTGACTTTCCTCATGTCTGGCACCAAAACTTACACCAAGTGCCAAGTAGAAAGGAAACCACAAAGGGGAATCCCTGGGTAGCAACCTGGCAAGTTTTGGGGGGAAAAAGTCACATGCTTATTTGTATTTCAGGAAAAGGTTGGCAAATGACTTGAGACCTGGAATGATACACTCTGAGAGGGAGAATGAACCTGGGAAGCAATGCAGACACCTGCCATGGAAACCAAGACTCCGGTGGTAAATCAGTGTTGCTCGAAGCCTCACAGTTAGCAAAGCCAGTTGCAATAAGAACGAAACTCCTCAATTCTTCTACTCCAGGTGTATAGGTTAGAGCAGTTCTCAAATGTTAGCAAGCATCGAAACCACCTGGAGGGCTCAGTAAACCACCAACTGCTGGATCCCACCCCAGAGATTCGGTTGGTCTGGGTTGAGCCTGAGAACAGGCATTTCTAACAAGTCCCCAGGTGATGCTGATGCTGTTGGGATGGGAACCACACTTTGAGAACCACTGGGGTTAGAGCAAGAGGGGGCTTAGGGCCTGGGAACAAGGAGGATGGAGCCAGGTCAGGTTCTACAAAGTGGCTGCTGAGGCTTGCTCAGTGGAGTCTGACCTATGGTGACAAATGACATCACCTTGTGGTCCAGTAACCCAAACAAGGAACCGTACTTTCCCCAACTGCTTTCTCCCTGGTGTGGCCCAGCAACTTGTGCCCAACAGGTGGCTACAGTCAAGTTTCAGGGGCTCCAAAGGTGTTATCAAGGAGTTAACCAATTTTTACTGGACTGGACACCAGGTCCTTTAAGTTCACTTCCAGTTAAGTGACAACCCCTTGCTCTCAGAGCAGGTGATTGCTGCACACAGAAGCTTATGCACTGTCAAGAGAACAGAGTCCAACATTCTAAATGTTATTATAACAAATTTTCTTACTCTAACAAATTCCAAGGGGTAATCAGCATTCCTTCATGCTACTAGAAATCTACTTCAAAAATGCAGCCCACTGGCCAGGGATTAAAACCTTTATTAAAAAAGATTTTTCATTTTGTCTCAATGGGATTTGACCTCCATTATTAACCACCTGACTACCACGAGAGTGTTGTAACAAACTTAGACTTTTTGAGCCTTCGTCTCTCGTCCAAAACCCCTTCTCTTTACCCCAGCTGAACAAGTCTTTTCATCTAGGTGGCCCACTTTCATTTTTAGCTTTTGCTTATTTGGCTAAGATTTAACTACAGCATCAGGTAAAAAGCATTAGACTCAAGAGTCAGGAAACCTGGGTTTGAGTTCTGGCTTCACCCCTCGGTAGCAATGTGAACTCGAGCAAATTCATTTAGCCCTCCACTAAGCCCTCTGTAAAATGGTATAAATGATGTCTTCCTCCTGAGATTACTGTGGGGTTATGTGGGTGAGTGTGAAGGCCCCTCATATGGCTTCTGCACATAGCACACTCTCTGACATCAGTATCCACCTTTGCTCTATCTGTCTCATACACGATTTTGTTTTTAATGTTTTTAGAGATGGAGTCTCACCTGTCACCCAGGCTAGAGTGCAGTGGCACAATCATAGCTCACTGTGGCCTCAATCTCCTGAGTAGCTGGGACTACAGGCACACACCACCACACCCAGCTAATTCTTTTAAATTTATTGTAGAGATGGGGTCTTGCTATATTGCCCAGTCTGATCTCAAACTTCTGGGCCCAAGTGATCCTCCCACCTCATCCTCCCAAAGTGCTGGGATTACAGGCATAAGCCACCATGCCTGGCCTGTCTCACACACACTTTAAAACAGCCGAGATCCAAACAAGAATTGGGATCATGCATTCAATAAGCCACCCTTCCCTGGTATGCTATCTGTGGGGGAGGAGATCACAGCTGTAGACTCGAACAGAAAGCAGCTGGATGCTGAAGACCAGAAATGTAGTGCTCACATGATCACCTGACTAAAACAAGGACCCATTCACAAGAGTTGCTATTTCCTAGTAACTTATGGGAGGGGATCCCAAATATGCTCAACTAAAAATAATAATAAATTTTTTTAAAAAAATAGGCTTTCAAAATTGATATTCACTGGATATTCATAACTCCCTGCAAGGAAAGGATATTAAAATGGGCAATCCCTTATCAAGGCCGTATAGTTCCTTTCTCCAATAATTTGTCCATATAATCGGCATTAGTATTAAAAATATATTTAAGCTGGGCACCATGGCACGTGCCTGTAGTTCCAACTACTCAGGAGGATGAGGTGGGAGGATGACTTGAGGCCAGGGGTTCAAGGCTGCAGTGTGCTATCATAGCGCCAGTGAATAGCCACTGCACTCCAGCCTGGGCAACATAGGAAGACCCCATCTCTATAAACAAATATTTTTAAACACTTTTCCTCTGCTATCATCCAAAATGTAACTGATGTCTCAACCTCATAAACTGATGCTGGCTTCAAACATTTGCAGAACAACAGGAAGGGGAAGACTCACCTGTTGACCCATCCTGCCAACTCCTTCATTGCATCAGTTGTCACCACCTTTCCCACACCCTCACCTTCTTGTTGCCACTTGCTTCTTCTGACTTCTGTGTGTGGATGTTCCCTGAATCCTACACAGCAACCTCCTCCTCTCTCAACATGCTACCCCCATTGCTCGCTTGGCTATCACCAGGCCTGTTTGCTCAGAAGGAAAAAAGGAAGGAGGGGATGTGGGGGAGAGGGGGACCCAGGGATCCCTCAGGTCCCTGCCAGCTCCAGCATTCTGTAATTCCATGATTCCTTGCCCTAACCACCCGATCTCAGAAAAGAAGATAATGGACCGCTGTAAATCAGTCATTAACTGAAGCCACAGAAAATTTACCTTCCCCCACTTTAATATAAATGTTTCTTGCTATCTTGAGTTCCGTGAATGAAGTAACTGCTCCATACTCCTTTCGGGCCCAATTCAACAGATGTTCATTTCCATGGGGGAAGTTCCTTTCTTCTGTTGCTGCTGTCAAGGAGAAGTTTCTTGATGAAAACTGAACTACAGAACCCTCAGACACCTAGAGGAAATAGAATTGCACGATTAACACAGTGCAGTCACCCAGGGCTGAGTTATAACTAGAGAAAATACTTCTCAGACAACAAGTATCTGTCAATCAAACCTCTTCCCTTTGTTATTATATAGGCAGATCAGCTTTTTTCAAATGCTGATTCAAGAAATAATCCCAAGCCTAGTCCTCCCAGATAATGGCAAAACTACTAACGTAGGATGTCCCTCTGAACTCTGAAAGAATTTGTGAGGAACGACTGCATTGTGCATTGTCAGTAATCATAAGAATTATCACTGCTATTTTCCAGATACCTAAATCTTCAGCCAACCTTCCAAGTAATACAATTTTAAGTCAAGGGGAAAGCCTTGGTGAGTATTCCCAGGAGCTTATAATGGGCTTCAGGGTCAGGATAAGCAGACCCCAAAGTCCTGCTAGCAGCTGAACATGACTAGCAGGTCTTTCGCAGCTGCAGCGTCTGCTGGCAGACCCTCCACAACAGTGAGAGTGGACGTTCTCCTGAGCTCTGAGATAAGAAGAATGGCCAAAGGTTGCCGGTCTTTTACCACATGACTCCCATTTTCGTGGCAATGAGATGAATGTGTATAAGTTTATTTTGTAAGACCCCCCAAATTCGCACAGATAATGAAGTCAAGAGGCTGTTAAACTAATCCTAATAAAACTTTCAGGATGATTTATGCAAGCACCATATTTTTGCTGCATGTATTTAGACCATCACTGACCTAACTTACCATGGTATATATATAATTAACACATACTAAGGAGGAAAATCATCTTGTTGCTGTACTATGATCAAATTTAGTTGCTGGTAAAACTATGCATGCCATCTTTATTGGCTAGCATTTATAAAATAAGTGATTTTATCAATGTCAAGGTAAAAACACAAAATGTGAGCAAAAAGGCCCATGAATTTCCAAGTCACAGAACCATAAACATCTTGTATTAAATTTCACATTAACTATTTATTCTTAGCAAAAAGTGAGCAGTTTCTGAAGGGGTTATAAACAGCCAGAGTAAGAAGCAAGTTAAACGGTTCTACTGCTTACAGCAGCGTTTTCAATGTTAACACACACACACAACAGTATTTACCCAGCTATTGTGCTAGGCATTGATATTTTCTATTCAATGATACATACATAATTTTTTAAATGTTGGCAAAGAAGTACTTAATCGATTCCATGACGTACCTATTGCTGTAGATCCATCTTGGCTGAAGACTAGAATCACCTTAAGAGCTTCTAAGTACCCTGATGCCCAGGCCATACTCCAGACCAATTAGAATCTGTGGGGTGGGGCCCAGGCATCGGAATTGTTTTAAGATCCCTGGGTGATTCCAACAGCCACATTTGAGAAATCCTGCCTTAATGGGCACTGAGTGATCCACAGGTTGAAGAGCACTGTTAACAGGACAGGCTCAGTGTGGACACCTCACAGCCTCCTCTATGCCAGGGGTTCTTAACCAGGGTGGTTTTGTCCCCCAGGAGATATGTGGCAATGTCTAGAAGCATTTCTGACTATCACCACTGGGAGGGAGGTGCTCCTAGCATCTACTGAGTAGAGGCCAGGGATGCTGCTGAACAGCCTGCAGTGCCTAGGATGGCTCCGCAACAGAGAATCACTCACAACGTCAGCAGTGCAGAAATCCTGCTCTTCCCTTTAGACTGACTGTTACTACCACTCAAACATCTACTGGAGCCCCAGTTTGAATCCCCCAACGGACAGCCCTTTCTATGCTAGAAATTGTGTGGTTTAGTGCTTAGCAAAGAACGAGAGCAGCCTGGGAAGCCCTGCGCAGATCATTCACAAGCTGGGCGTACGCCACAGCCGCTGGCAAGAGGTACCGCTTACTGCACACCTGCTCATCGGGCGCCGCGAGGTGCTATTCAGTGCGGTAATTTCCAAATGTCCTGATGCCAGTCATGGGCAAAACCAGTGTGGAACATTTAGCTTTGACCTCGTTTTGAGGTCACTTGCATAAGAAAAAGCGCCTGAGCCATTTTTCTGCCAAAAGATAACCATGCCCACCTGTGTGTAACTCCGCTGAGGCTTAGCCACTCACCAACGCAGAACTTCAAACGTGTTCCTCTGGCTTTCTGACTTAAGCACTGTAGTAAAATCTTTTCACTGAAAAGCACTTATACTAAAAAGGCATTTTTATCAGTCCTGTCACTCACTCTCACACACACACACACACACACACACACACACACACACACACAAAACCACAACAATCCACGGTAGTCCAGAGGCCTCTGTCCCACCGCCAGCACAGCCTGAACGTTTAGGCAAGTGTCCCTGGATATCTACTTCTCGGTCATGTTACAGCTATAAACTACAATTGGGTTTTCAATATGTTATCCATAGAGCACATTTTTTTCAGAGTGGAAAGTGAGACATATCACACTGGTGCATTCCAGAGGCAAGAAAGCAAACAGTGTAAGTAAGAGAAGCAATCAGCAGCAACTTCGGAATATATCTTGAAGTAATTAAAAAGCAATGCCGTGATGCAGCTGATCCTTCCAAAAGAAATGACTCCTGCTGATGCCTCCACACACGGTCCGTCGTCGTCTTCCGAGCCAGCAGCAATAAGGTTCATACGCTCAGGGCTGAGGAATTTGGCGAAGGAGTTCACGGCCACTCCTCAGGCACATTCCAGTATGAAGAGAGCAAGGCTGCCAGGGGCAGTGAGGTGTCCCTGGCTGCAGGTCAGTGGAAATTTTCTGCCTCAGCAAGGGGTGAGCTAGCATCCTCTCCTGACCGCCACCTCTCCTGGCTCTGACAAAGCTGGGGCTGACAAAGGCCTCCCCCGATGCCCAGGAGCTCTAGAAGGTATTGTTCAGATGTTATTTCCATCTGATCCCAGGACCTGTAAGGTAGGCTACCGTGATCTACAGTAGCGAGGAGGAAACCCCAGAGAGGACAATGGCCTACCCGAGGTCAGAGACTCAGCCCCAGGGTCAGACCAGAACATGAGACTTCTGACTCCTGGTCACAGCTGGCCTCTGTGTGAACCCTTCCAGAAAGAAGACCTCACTGGCTCCCAAGACAGACGATTTCCATTCTTTCTTTCTATAAGATTCACCTTTTATTCACTAGTCTAAGTCATGCCTACCAGACCAAAGAATTCCTTCCTCTTTCTTCCATGGGAGGAGACTTCGTTTAATGACTCATCTGACCTTGATCACCTGTTCACTTCTTCAAGGCAACATTCCCAGCTTCTTCAACTCCTCCCCAGACACTATGGTTGTCAGAGCTTCACCAGCATAGTCTCCAAAACATGGTGCTGGGACAAGATTCCAGGTCTCCAGGTGTGAACTAAACAACTAACCCTAAGTTTTTATATGCATGCCCTCTACATTTTCAGCTAAATCTCTAAGAAATTGAACAAGACGGGGCTGAAATCTGTGATTCACAGGTATACTCCCACGCAAAGCTGAGCATATTAACAGTCTTTGCTGGGGTCCCAACTTGTTCAACCAACTGCAAAGCGACCCCACAGAACTGTACTCATCTTTGTAAGGGCATCTTGCTAGAACCTGCCAAGAGCCCTGCTGAAAGAAAGACATCATATATCCATGTCATTCCTCTATTCTACCAGTCAATGTTCCAGACCCTGCTTTAATCTTCATGATGTAATATCCTTATGAGAGTCTGGCTTGTGTTAAAATTTATGTAAGAACATAAGATACAGAGAGAATAGCAAAACACATAAGAAGTAGAGGAAAAATAAGTTTCTAATATGAGGAGTTGCAATCATTATTGCAAGGAAAATAACTACATGAATGTATAGGGAAAAAACAACTTATTTTTCTCTGTACTCACACCACTCTTAATAGTTCACTTCTGAGAACAGATGTGTGGTGTTTTTTCCACACCAACCAATTCTCCAACTCACTAGATACCAACTAGTACCATGTATTTCAATTCAATTCTGACACTATCTACCTGGAGATAGCATCAGATCCCATAGGTGAAGGGCTCAGTCTCCCAAGCCTGCCCCCACTAATTGAAAATCCAAGTGTTTCTAATAATTGGCTATAAATCAAAAAACCTGAGGTTCAATTATTTGCTAGAATGGCTCACAGAATTCAAGGAAATACTTTACTTACATTTACCCTTGTGTGTTTGTTTTTTAGAGACAGAGTCTCACTCTGTTGCCCAGTGCCACACACCATCATAGTTCACTGCAGCCTCAATCTCCTGGGCTCATGTGATCCCCCCGCCTCAGCCTCCCAAAATGCTGGGATTACAGGTGTGAACCAATGCACTTGGCCCATTTACCCATTTATTATAAAGGATACAACTCAGGAACAACAGCCAGATGGAAGAGATGTACAGGGCACGGTATGGCAGGAGTGGCAAGGAGCTTCCATGCCCTCTGCAGGAACACCACCCTCCCAGCACCTCCACCTGCTCACCAACCCGGTG